TTAACATTCAGTAGGTAATTTAGGTAAAGCAATAGTGTTTTGATGAGTGGTCGCGTGATTCTGTGTTGGGTGAGTGTCGCAGTGTTCCTGTTGTTGGTGAGTGTCGCGTGTCCGTGATTGTTGGGAGTGTCGCGTGTCCTGTTGTTGGTGAGTGTCGCGTGTCCTGTTTGTCTGGTGAGTGGTGTTTCGCGTTGTCCTGTTGGCTGGTGAGTGTGTGCGCGTGATCGCTGCTGTCCTTGTGGCTGTGAGGTGTCGCGTTGTCTGTTTATGCTGGTGAGTGTCGCGTGTCTGTGTGTGAGAGTGTCGCTGTCTGTTGCTGTGAGTGCGCGTGTCCTGCTGCTGGTGAGTGTCGCGTTCCTGCGTTGCTCGTGTGAGTTTGTCGCGTGTCTGTTCGCTGGTGTATGTGTGCGGTCCTGTTCTGGGAGTTTATTCCGTCGCGTTCCTGTGGCTGGTGGGAGTTCGCGTTCCGTGCGTGGTCGTGTTCGTCTGTGTGAGCGTCGCGTGTCTGGTTGTTGGTTGAGCGTCGCGTGGTCCTGTTGTTGGTGGAGGCGTCGGCGTGTCCTTTTTTGTTGGTGAGCGTCGCGTGTTTCTTTTTGTTGGTGAGCGTCGGCGTGGTCCTGTTGGTGAGCGTTTGCGGTCTGTTCTGGTGAGCGTCGCGTGTCCTGTGTGCCTGGTGAGCGTCGCGTGTGCTGTTGCTGGTGAGTGTCGCACGTGTCCTGTTGTTGGGAGCGTACGCGTGTCTGTTGCTGGTGAGCGTTCGCGTACCCTGTGTTGGTCGGAGCGACGGGATACGCTGGTGTTCGTAGGTGTGATGTTTGCCTGCTGCGTGACGGCGGCAGGTGGGACGAGCGCGCTGCTGGAGACGTCCGCAGCGACAGCGCGGCGCGTCGTGGTCATTGCGCATCGAGCCTGGGGCATCGTGGAGAAAACCACGAGCTGGTGCGGGCCAACCAGACCCTACCACTCACATCTCCTGGCCCAGCGTGGTGCGCACCTCGCACGGCGCCTTGCACGCTAGATGTCCGCCTACGGCATGGTAACTCTGGAGCGTCGCCCTTTATTACAACTGCAGGAATTCTGGTTGAATTGAAGAGTGATTCGATTCGCGCGCTTGTCAACTGCTAAGTCAGTAGTGTGTCAGTAGTAGAATGTTTTTTTTTTTCGAGAGTGGCTGTTATCTTCCCGCGTGGATGGTGAACGAACCAACATTAGCTTGGTTTCCCAGTCAGATCTCACAACGTTGGCAATCGCCACAAAAGCACAGGACAAAGATCTTAACTCCCGACGGGTCTTCACTCTATATGGTGTTATAGTGTAAGTGAGTGATAGCATGGCACCATTGTAAGTCCATGAGATGCTGTATATAAGAGATAGCGTTAGGAAGAATGGCAGAATGGAGAGGGAAAACCGTACAGCGCGACCGGGTCCGGTCTTTGTTGTGGATACATGAATCTGGCTTTCGACGCTGTGCGTGTCGATCGAGAAACTAACGCAAAGACTACCGATCAGAGCTGCCCAATACAGCGCTGTTGACATTCTCTCCAACAGCGATTTGAGATTGACCTACCTGACACGTTAAGTGTCGAACTTCATGCAACCCCTCACCGGTCGGGGATTGCGACACCTTATGACGACAAGGGGAACCAGGACTTCATGTCAGAGGGCGCACTGAGATTACTATCGTTAGATGACCATAAAGCCACTTCTCCCCCGTCCGTAAGTTCACCGGAGTGAAAGAATTTTTTGTATGAAAGGAATTAATCCCAACTCAAATACATGCCCAAAACGTCGACTCACGATCCTTCGATTTCAATCTAAGGACTCCCCCATCTTAACGAGCTCACTACCGGGGGCTTGTCTGCTATTGAGTTATTATTGATTACTTATTATTATCTTAATTATTATTCTTGTTATATATATTAGTTATTACCTATATTATTTGTGTGTTTTATACATTCAATATTTTTTCATGCATACTGTGTAGTGTAGACGTATGCATAGTATTTAACTTATCGCATTCGCCCCGCTTCACTCTGGAGCTATAAGTTCCCAGCTACCAACAACAATGCGTCACTCAGATGCAATTGCGGGTTGCATGGAACTTGGATATTTTGACATAATAAGACCAATTTTTTGGGGCAACCAGTTTGAATAGGAGAATTTCCCGCAATATTTTCTCTGGGACGCATCAAAAATATTCGCTGAACGTTGGTAGGAGTAATACTAAAAGCTTTCAAGAATTTGATTTAATTCCCAGCGTACATATATGGACCACAAATTTAGTCGTTAGAAGGAACTTCGTTGAATCTATGAAGTCGTATAGGCGTAAATGTAGTTCGTATTTCTTTTAATTCTACGTATCTGTAAAATGCGTGCGAAATCTTAATCTGTTATGTGAATAGCTAACTGAAGAGATAATTCTCTTAATTGCCACGACTTCTTAGGGAGACTATTGTGATATCATTTTCTCCTCTCACGAATTCCGTTAGCTCATAGTGAATAAGTGTTTTTTAATGAGATGTACTTCTCTTTACCACAAATTAACGTATGACTGGATTGGCCGATGTTCATTTTTTACCGCTTACGCAAACGATTAGAGAGAACAAACAACTCTGACTCGTTATGCTCGCACTAAACACGCACAGGAGATACATTTATCAGAAACATTTGAATCATCCTGCCGTACTCACACCCCTGATATGAACAAAGTAGCCTACGAAGTTACAAGTTCATACCAGAGTACACATGAAGCTATGCAGACTGCTTTTCTCGCGGCCGGCGCGGTCGCCACTTTGCTGTTGGCATTATCAGGCCAACACCGTTCGCTGTACCAAGAACGCATTAAAACGTGTCAGATAACAGACCCATTGAATAACATTGTATATTGACCTAAAAGAAAATGTTTTTTTTAATTGCCCGCCTTTTTTAAGTTTTAAAAAACTTTTCTTTCGCCCCAAAAATCTTTCTTTTTTAATTTGCGTGACAGAATTGAATTATTTAGACATTGTTCATTAACAAAACCAGAATAGTGTGGGGAATATATGGGTTGACAATATTTACATGACCCCCTCCTCATTATGCGATGTTAGATCATTAACCTTCGAATGTTTCCCTCTGCAGAAGCCAAGTTCTTTGTTCAGCCCTGCCATTGCCAGCAGTTCGCCGATTGAAAACAAATTTTTACGTTCATTATGTTATTAATTTTACATGAATTGCTTACATTTTTAATTTAATATTAGTGTTCTCTGAGATTTTTGAAATGTACTATTTCTGTATTCGACATGGGGCTGCAACCTCCAGTTCTGGTCCAGCCGACACTGTCATTGAGCGATACATAATCATAAATCACTGAGGTGGCAGGGGAAACATGATTTGGCAGGTGCAGGGGTAACATCAAAGGACCGAAGTTCGAATCCCAGCGCGGAGAAATCAATTGCTGGTTGGAAACGCTTTTTTCAGTTTCTCGTAGTGAAAAATATTTCCTTAGCCGTTACAAATTATGCGAAGAAGTATGTGCTACTGAACGCATCTCGGTTTTGTTTTCTGAACACGTTGGTGGCTCTGGTTCCAGTTTTCCTTTAATACATTTTAGACAGGGCAAATTCGCAGTACAGGTAACCGGGTTGGTTTAAAACTTTATCTTGTGTGGTGTGACAGCGAAATTAAATGACACCAACAGCGAAGAAAAGAAAGATCTTTAATTGTCTTCGGTATTGGAATCTTTTGATAACTTACCAGTACGAACTCCTAACTGATGCCAAATAAATGGATCATCATTTGGAATGTACCAGTTGCGGAGATCCTTGGGTGACAGCTTTTGCGTATTAAAGCGAAGGACCGTCTGTCGCCGTGTCGTGTTAGATTTCTTTTAATGTGTTTTACTTGTATACAGAATTAGAGATAGCAATGCTGAAATTAATATTTTTCGCAATTTTGCACGTAAGGGGGGGTTGTTTCTTAACCTTAACATTTGAGGTTCATTTTGTTTTTCGTCTACCTCGGAAACTATTCGTCTGATTGGAGTTTGCTTTGCACTAATCAATTTCTAATAATGTGTTTTACTCGTATACAGAATTAGAGATAGCAGTGCTGAAATTAATATTTTTCGAAATTTGTCCCGTAAGGGGGGGGTCGTTTTGTAACTTGCACAATTGAGGTTCATTTTGTTTCTCGTCTATCTCGGAAACTATTCGTCTGATTGAAGTTTTTTTTGCACCTATGAATTTCTTTTAAAGTGTTCTACTTGTATACGCAGTATCAGCTGTGAGCGCCGAAATTAATATTTTTCGAAATTTGGTACGTAAGGGGGGGGTGCTTTGTACTTGAAGATTTTGAAGCTCCACTTTGTTTGTCGTCTATCTCGTAAACTATGCGTCTGATTGGAGTTTAGTTTGCACCCCTGAATTTCTTTTTAAGTGTTCTAGTTAGTAAGTCCCAAGATGATTTTTTTTCCAATTATGCCACATAATGGGGTGGGTGTTTTGTACGTGATCACGCGAGGTTTATTTGGTTTCATGTCTATTTCAGAAACCAATTGTTTAATTGCAGTTTGGTTTTTGCTTTTGAATTTCTCCCTAAGTGTTCTACTTATGTCTAGAATTATAGATAGGGGAGCCGAAATTAATTTTTTTACCAATTTTGTTACGTAATGGGGGGGGTTGTACTTGATCTCTCGAGGCTCTATTTTGTTTCTCGTCTATCTAGAGAACTCTTCGTCCGATTGGAGTTTGGTTTGCATCTTTTAATTTCTCTTAAAGTTGCTAATTAATACCCGGTATTTTAAATTGAAGTCCCGAAATTATTTTTTTTTTCCTAATATGTCACTTAGAGGGGGGTGTTTTGTACTTGATCACGCGCGGCTCCATTTTGTATCTAGTCTATCTCAGAAACTAATTGTCTGATTGCAGTTTTGTTTGCACCTTTGAATTTCACTTAAAGTGTTTTACTTTTTTCCATAATTTCAGATGGGGAAGCCGAAATTAATTTTTTTCCAAATTGGTCACGTAATTGGGATGGTGTTTTGTACTTGATCATTCTAGGCTCTATTTTGTTTCTCATCTATCTCGGAAACTATGATCTGAATGGAGTTTGGTAGCGGAGCCGAAATTATAATTTTTCCAATTTGTCACGTAATTGGAGGGTATATTGTACTTGATCACTTGAGGTGCCATTTTGTTTCTCGTATATCTCGGAAACTATTCGTCTTATAGGAGTTTAGTTTACTCCCTTAATTTCTCTTAAAATTTTCTTTTGGTACCCAGAATTTCAGATGTATGCGCCGAAATTAATATTTTTCGAACTTTGTTACGTAATGGGGGGGTGTTTTGTATTAGATCATTATACGCTCTGTTTTGTTTCTTATCTATATTGGAAATGAATTTCTTTTAAATTGTTCTGTTTATACCCAGAATTTGAGATGGAAGCGCCGAAATTATTATTTAATTAAGGGAACCTATCAACGAAGAAAAAGAAAGTCTGATAATTGTCTTAGGTATTGGAAAATTTGATCCCTTCACCAGACGAACTCCCTAACCGATGCCAAATAAATGGCAGTCATCATTTGGGAACGTAATCAGCTTGCCGGTGATCCTGGCGGAAGCTTTTGCGTATTAAAGCAAACGGACCGTCTGTCGCCCGTGTTCGTGTTAGCTTCAGCTTTATTAACCATTTTCGCCTGGTTCATTTTAGGACGTGTTCCCACGGACAACGATGTAATGGGTTTGCGGGAGGGCGTATTCGTGTGCCAACATTTCCGTGCGATAAATACTACTTTGTGGGTTCGGGAACATTTTAATTCTTGGGAATTTAAGGATACAATTCAGACCGGTTAGCTGGTTAATTTTTAAAATAAACTCATGATACCTAAAGCTAAATGTCCCGACACTAGTACAATTTGTAGCCACCACGTGGCAGCACCAAAATAAGTAAAATTTACTTTACCGATAACGTCTGAACCAATGGTCCGGTTTTCGATCTGTAAACGGCATTTGACGCCTTTTTAAAATTGAATTTACGCTACGATAAACTTTTTTCAAAAATCTAGCAAAAACGCGTATTTGAAATTAGATCTCAAACTTCAGGATTCAGGAAGTATGTCGCCATCGCGCTATAAGCTTACATTTTTTAATTTGTTCTCGGAAGTTTGAGAACTAATTTCAAATTCGCGTTTTTGCTAGATTTTTGAAAAAAGGTTATCGTAGCGTAAATTCTATTTTAAAAAGGCGTCAAATTTTTTTTTTACAGATCGAAAATCGGACTATTGGTTCAGACGTTATCAGTAAAGTAATTCCCCTGTGATTGTGCTGCGATCCATTGAATTTTCCTACAAGTTTTTTTCGATGCATTTAGCCTTAAGAGATATTAACTGCGATTTATTTGAAGATTTAATTAATCTAGTATGTCTTTTTTTGTTCTATGATGATGACGATTTACAAAAATCTAGGATGGCACAAAAATAAAAAATAATGTACAGAACTGAAAATAATTTGGTCTTGTCGATGTTGTAATATCTAGAAACAAGAGCAATTAAATATAAATAAATTACCAAACCCATTTTTTTACAATTTTTAAAAAACTTAATACACATATATATATATATATATATATATATATATATATATATATATATATATATATACATACATACATACAAACTATATATATAAGACATTTTAATATCGTTGGTGTATGTGTGTGAGTAGGTGTGAATATTAATCATTACATCATTATCATTTTGGAGACAACTTTTCTCAGTCATTTCTTACGCATTTTCTAATTAACGTATTATTCGTTTATCACAAAACGAGTAAACAGCTACTTTCCTTATTTTTGTATTCCCGATTTCCTCTCACGTTCAGGAAAGTTGAAAATGTCATTTCAGGTATTCCGTAAATTCTACATTAAACGCATTTCTCTTCGGACGAATATTATTTAATCAGAATTCTAATTGTGGTGAAAATTCGCGTTCTCTCTAGAATTCCGACGCGCACAACATACTGGAAGCTGGATAAACCAGTTTTTTTTTCTTCTCGCTGGCTGCTGCAGAGTCGTAAAGTAACTAACTCTGTACGTACTCAATCCTGATTAGGAACCTCTCTGCTGCTCGAATTGCAAAAGCCATTCCATAATCCGAAGCTTAATTAAAAATAAAAATTATGTAATTAATTTTGAAGAACGGAGAATCCCCTTATAAAAAGTTTAAGCCAGTTCATCCAATTCCCAATGTAATGAAATAATCTGAAGAAATGTAACTCGGATATGTAAATTTTCCATTCTAACGGCATCTCATTTCTTCGATCTACTAGCCTGTCTATTTTGTCAGACTAATCTGCAAATTTAAGAAAATGAATATGCCGTGTTACCTGAATATTTTTTTTTTAATTTTACAGGTTACATTGAACTAAAATCAGTTAAATCAAATCTAGTAGTTGATATTAATAAAAAGCAGCACACCTTTTTAAATTGAAAATCGTTATGTTTCATAGGAATATCTGCTGCTTGATTGGTAGCGTTCCGTGGTTTCTCCGATCAATACCAGGTGAATGCCGGAGCAGTACATAATAAACCAATCACGGATCGCGCGCGCGATCTTCCCTTCCTCTTCTTTGTTCTATCCTCACCCATTTCATAAACTTACTCTGGCATGTGCTATTCTACCACCTATTCCGGTCGGGAGCTTGGAGCTTTTCCCGGCTGGAGCGGTGCCACGCTGGTGAGAGATACCTGGATGGGGAAAACAAGTCGACGTAGCTGGGCGCCGAATCTCGCCATCCAGATAGGGAATATCATAGTGATCTCCCGAGGAAAAAGCATGCACTACACTTTTGGAACTAATGACCTTAGCAGTTGACGCGCCGGGAATCGCTACTCGCAAACCGACGTAAGGCGTCGGATCTCGCCAGCCAGGCTGGAAAGATCACCGCCACCCCCTCCCCGATAATACACTACTCGTACCGGTCTAATGACCTTAGTAGTTCACGCGCCCCGAATCCCTAACCAACCAATCCGGAGCTCGTGCTGACGGTGGGGGGCGCGTGCGCAGGTCGCGGCTGGCCGTGCTCAACAACCGGCACGCCTACTTCCTGCTGGTGGACGACGGCTCGGCCGGTCGCTACGGCGCCGAGATCATCCTGCGGCGCAAGCTGGAGAAGTACATCTCGCACCAGCGCCTGCACCCCGGCACGCACTGCAGCGTGCCCGTGGTGTGCCTGGTGATCGAGGGCGGCACCAACACCATCCGCGCCGTGCTGGAGTACGTCACCGACTCCCCGCCCGTGCCGGTGGTCGTGTGCGACGGCTCGGGCCGCGCCGCCGACCTCCTCGCCTTCACGCACAAGTACGTCCGCGCGCGCCGCGCAGTGGGGGGAGCCGCCTGGCCAGAGGCCGCTTCGGGACTACTTCTCATAAATGAAACGTAAAAAGAAATTGGGGATGGTGTTTTAACTTTTAGTGTGTGCTTACATAGGAAAGTGAAGGTATTGTAATGCTGCAGCGAATTGTTCAGAATTCTCTACAAAAGAACTTGTATTGTTGATCCCTAATACCCAAAAAGTTTATATTTGTGCTCCCTTAAGGTAGTAAACTCTCTCTCACGTTGTGTAGTCAGACTCCACGTGTTGTGCCCTTGATACCAGTAAAATGTTTGACACAAACGTTCTGTTTGTCCATCCGTAACTCCGTCCGGCTGCCAGACCGTATGTCTCTCCGTCTGTATGTTCGTCAGTGACGAACGGATGGACGGACGTTTTGCCGTCAATCGATTTCACGGTACCTTGGGTCCACGAAATATGAATTTTGACTTCATATAGTCTTAGAGGAAGTAATTTACTACATATAAGGAACAGTGTTTTTCCACTTTTTCTTTACCAGGGTCAGACAGTTAGTTGTTTTGGGGGGAGGAATCGACGTTTTTGACGCACGAGTACAAAAATTATAATGGTGGCGATGCATTTATTTAAACAGTTTGCAACATAAACGTTCACTCTGTTGAATTTGGAATGAAGAGACACTCCATAAAACGACCAGGCAATTGCAAGTCAATGCAGAATAAAGTTGAAAACTAGACGGGAAACGAGAAAACGCGCTCAATGCTTCGCGAGAATGTCGGAGCCTGAAGCACGGTCAACATAATGTATGAAAGGGCCGACATATTGAATTATTTGTGAGGGAATCTAGCAAACACGAAGAATACACGGCAGTGAGGGATGGATGGCACAACACGCTGCATCTTTAATGCGACCCTTGTGTGAAGGTTGAGCCTGTGTTGACTTGCGAACCTCAAACGTGTAACATAGGATCGGTAGAACCTCATTCAGCAGCTCTTCCTCTGTTGTCAGCGGTGAGCGATAGCGCATGATTTGAAAATTGAGCAGTTTGAAGATTGGCAGATGTACGAATTATTTTCGAATAGTCGCAGTGTGTGCTACTTATGCGTTGTCTGGCTGTCTCTCTATCTCACTCTCCCTTTCCCACTCTCTTTCACTCTTTTACTCAATTTCTTTCGTTCTCTCTCATTCTCTCTCTTTCGTTCTCTTTCGTTCTCTCTCATTCTCTCTCTCTTTCGTTCTCTTTCGTTCTCTCTCATTCTCTCTCTCTTCCGTCCTCTCTCTCTCTTCCGTCCTCTCTCTCTCTTCCGTCCTCTCTCTCTCTTCCGTTCTCTCTCTCTCTCTTCCGTTCTCTCTCTCTCTTCCGTTCTCTCTCTCT